GCGAGACGGGCTGGGTCACGCTGCGGGGCGCGTGATCGCTCACCGTGAAAAGCAGGAAAAATTGAGCTTATCCCGCTTTACCCATGTTCTGTTACAGCCACGACAACGCTGTCAGCCCAGCTCTGCAGTTGGGGCTGCAGGGGAGGACCTGCTCTCGGACCGCGCTGGGCTCTTGGGCTCGTCATCCTCTGCAGCAAGGACGCTGCTGGAGCACACCTTGCTTCAGAGGAACCACAAGATCAAAGCAGAAGCAAAGCCCTCTGAGCTGACTTTCCCCATTGAAGCAGCCCCGTGAGTTCAATGTCCAAGTGGAAACCAGTAAGGATGGTGTCCCTCAAGGGCCTGTACTGGGACCGATATGGTTTAATATCTTCACCGATAGCATGGATAGTGGGATCAAGGGCACCATCAGCAAGGCTGCAGGTGACACCAAGCTGAGTGGTGCCGCTGATACGCGGGAGGGAAGGGATGCCGTCCAGAGGGACCTGGCCAGGCTGGAGGAGCGGGCCCGTGCGAAGCTCATGAAGTTCAACACGTCCAAGTGCGATGGTCAGGGCAATCCCCAGTCCCAGCACAGGCCGGGGGAGGGAGGGAAGGGATGCCGTCCAGAGGGACCTGGCCAGGCTGGAGGAGCGGGCCCGTGCGAAGCTCATGAAGTTCAACACATCCAGGTGCGATGGTCAGGGCAATGCCCAGTCCCAGCACAGACTGGGGGAGGTAGGGAGGGATGGATGGATGGATGGATCTGTGTGAAAGGCTGAGGGAGCTGGGCTTGTTCAGCCTGAAGAAGAGAAGGCTGAGAAGACACCTAATATATGCTTACAAATATCTGAAGGGTGGGTACCCTGGGCTGCATCCAAAGAAGCGTGGCCAGCAGGTCAAGCCCTGCATCCAGCCCTCGGCTCCCCAGCACAAGAAAGACCTGGAGCTGTCGGAGCGGGGCCAGAGGAGGCCCCAGCAATGATGGCGGGGCTGGAACCCCTCTGCTGAGAGTAAAAGCTGAGAGAGCTGGGGGTGTTCAGCCTGGAGAAGAGAAGGCTCCGCAGAGACCTTACAGCGGCCATTCAGTGTATGCAAAGGGGCTTAGGAGAAAGACAGAGAGAGACTTTTCCAGGGTCTGCAGTGACAGGCCAAGGGGCAAGGGATTTACACAGAAAGAGGGGAGGTTTGGACTGGACAGAAGGAAGACATGGCTCATGCTGAGGGTGCTGAGACACTGGAAAGGGTTGCCCAGAGAAGCTGTGGATGCCCCATCCCTGGAAACACTCAAGGCCAGGCTGGACGGGGCTCTGAGCACCCTGGTCTAGCGGAAGGTGTCCCTGCTGATGGCAGGGGGTTGGACTAGGTGACCTCCGAAGGTCCCTTCCCACCCAGACCACTCTGTGTCTACGACTTCCTGAGCGGCACGGTAACTTTGCTCCCAACACCCAGCTCCCTTTTCTCAAGAGCGAGAGCAGTCACTGCAACCACCTGCAGCCAGCCAGCTCCGGGTTTCACGCAGACCCTGCTCTCCTCTCCAAAGGGAAACGTCCACCAGACACAGGGCTTCAGGACTCTCCTCTGCTGCTCTGCTTCCAAAGGACCGCAGCGTCCACAGCAGAGGCCAAAGCTCCGAGCTAGAAAAGGCTTTGCTCACTCTTCCCTCTCCCCAGCCACTGGGATTGACTTCAAAGTCACCTAAAAACATCTCCCTGCTCCCCTCGCGGTGCCAACTCTGGGTACTTGTGTCTTCTCCTGCACCTAGGTTCACAGCCATCATCTCCCCAGCTCATCCCATCGAAACCTCCCGGGCGCAGGGCTTGCTCCAACGCAGAGCCGGCCAGCTCCCGGGGCACAGCCAGGGCTTGGTCCTCGGGACAAGCACGTCAGAACTCCAGACCCTGGGATGAAGCAGCTCCCCCATCACCCAGCGAGCTGCGACAACCAAAACCTAATCCCTCGCTGCCACTCGCAGCGCACGTCATCCCGTACGAAGGTCCAGCAGGTCCAGGGCTGGCGTCCCTGCGCTGGCAGCTGAACAAGGAATCAAGATGGTTGACATGCACCGTACGCTCTGATCGGCTGTTTCGGTTGTGCGAGGTTAGTAATCATTACTGCTGCTCTACTCTAAGTTAGAAGCATGCCTGGCGAGCGCTCGTGGTGCCAGGGCGACGACCCTGGGAAAGCACCAGCAAGGTGAAGGAGCTCAGCGCCGCGACCTCGCTCTGGCTAGTGGAACGGCAGCGTGCTACGGAGATTGATCTAAAGCACGTTGAGAGGTGCTGAGTTTAAGCAATTTCAGATTAGGATTTCAAGTCCTGGGCACCACACACGCTCCTGCGCAACACTCATGCATCTTTCGCTCCAAGGCATCAGGGTTTCCACCTCTCTACTCGGACGGGAACGCATCCCAAAGCTTCCTCGTGATGATCACCGGCAGGGACTCATAGCCCAGTCCTGATAAAGGGGGGCAATTCAGGGACTCACAGCTGCGGGGGGCAAGCCGGGAGTGACGGAGGGCAGGGCATGGTCGCAGGGGCACGCCAAGCGGCGCTTCGCAGCCCCGCAGAGACAGAGCCAGCCCCTTCCCCCCAGCCCTCGGGACCCCCGAGAGCCGCAAGAGGTGACCTCCAGCTCTCACCGACACAAAACCTCCCTGAAGAAGATTCTCCAATTGCTTCCGTCCCCGGGTGAGCGGGTTCGGTGACATAATTAACTGGCACCGGTTGGAGGAGAAACATGAGCCGGGCAACGGGGTTTTGGCACAAGACCCACTGGCTGCGATAGCCGGAGGGGGGCAGAACCGCTCCGCAACGGGCGGTCGGCTACAAATTTAGAGTGATCATTACTAAGGAAACTTCAGACCTTTCCCCCCTTACTGGTGAAGCAATCTACCTACGAAGCTGTGAAAGAGAGAGGAGCTCAAGCGATGCAGCACGAACTGCTCTCCAAGCCCTCACCCAGTTTGTCTGTGGATGTGATAATCTCAGCTGGCAGGGAGGAGTCCAGATCTGCATCCAAGATGCCCAGTGGGTCGAGCTGTGCTACATGATGCCCTCGAATCTATGAAATGGGCCGGGAATGGAAAGAACAGGTACCAAGAGGGGAAAGGGAGAAAAACAAAAGAGGGGAGGGGTAAAAAAGTTAAATTACATTAGAATTAATTTGCAGAGTAATTCTCACCGACGTTTGGAGAAACAGTTACTGGCGCATCATCAAAATTTACACAACTAATGCCGAGAGGATCAAGCTTTGCAATGTGATGACCCCTGACCTGGAAGCAACAACACAGATTAGTCATTAAAATGGGTTAATTGCAGAGACATTCCTTAAAAATACACAAAACAAACAAAAATCACAAGTCATGCACAGTATCCCTCTCTACATTTTCTGCAGAGTCCCCCTAATTTCTTGCTGCAATCAGTTTCTGGCCTGCAGGAGCTGGGTTTCCTTCCCGCTACGGCGGGTGGGTATGAGTGTTGCCAGCTGCCAGGACCGCTCTGCTCCGCCCGGAGCCCGGCTTCGGCGGCGTGGGCAGGGGGAAGGCGAGCTCCTTCGCAGCAGAGACCTTCCAGAGTTGAGGTCCGAGGGTCTCCGACCGCTTTCCCGGTGTCGAACCCAAGCATCTCCTCCCTATGGATGCGGTAATTCCCCACTGATGGTTTCCTCCTCAGTAGCCTAGCACACAAAGAGGCAATTCCCCAGATTTTGGCAGGTCTAGGCGCTCTCCTGGCAACGTGGCGCAGACAACAAGCGTTGCCACCAGCAGCCGTAGCTCCTGAAAGGCAGAGGAACGTGTCCAAGGAACATCCACCCATCTGCGCTATTCGAGGCCAGCAGGTCCCGGCATCCTTTGGGCGAGAGGAGCCCCCAGCAGGGCCTGGAGCGCTCACCTGGGAAGGGGCAGGTGCGGAAACACCGCCGAGCGTTGGCACCCAGCGAGCCTGGCCAGCTCCTGGGTGGTGGCAGCCAGGCCAGGAGTCACCGCGCTGCGTTCGAATCCACATCGGGAGCCACAGAGGCTAACGGGAGGTAACGAGGAGCTTTACTCTTCGCCTCCGCAGGAGGAGGTGCCCACAGACAGACCCCACCACACCTCGCTGTGGCAAACTCCGTCCATCTCGGCGGCCAGCACTCTCCCTTTGGCAAGTCACCCTTTATTCCTTGACAGCTCTGCTCCCGGAGCTCCAGCTTGCGCTGGGAGCGGGGCGGGAAACCTGCCGGGGTAGGGGCTGTGGTGCCTTCTTCACGCTGTGAAAACGACACTCCCCGGCCATCAAATCTGCTACCAGTTGGCAAAGGCAGCCGCACGCGAGGGGATCACTAAACCTCCTGTACAAACCAGACACATTGATCTGACCTCCTCCACCAGAAAAAAAATTCCTCTTCAAAGTATCCCCAGGGTATTTCAGGAAAGGATTTTTGCGGTTTTACCAGCCAAAGAGCCTGAAATCAGCCACTGCCGTTAAGTCAAACTGCTAAGCAAGCACCAGTCCCCTCCCATGCTGTCTGCAGGGCCGGGTGGCAACGTGCCCATGAGCGCTGGTGGCCCAAGGGAAGCTCTTCTTGCGGGCCAGCCTTGTCCGGGGACTGTCTGCTTGTCCGTCTGGCAGCCAAGCGCAGGGGTAGCCCATCCCTTCGCAGTCCAGGACCCGAGCTCCCCGCGCCGCTCCCCATGGCCAGGATGCTCTCACCGGGACCGAGAGGCTGCTCTGCCCGGCAAATGGCTTTGAGCTGGAGGTGCCCGGTGGCTTGGAGGTCAGCTCCGCAGCTTGCAGGTAAACGGCGAATCCTCAAATCGATGCGGGAGCGAGGAGAAAACGTGTGGATGTGGCACTTCAGGACATGGTTTAGCAGGCATGGTGGTGATGGGCTGACGGTTGGACTTGATGATCTTAGAGGTCTTTTCCAACCTGAGTGATTCTATAAGAGCCATGCTGCTTGCTACTCTCCACGTGCAACACAAGCCGAAACAATTGGCAAAGGCAGCCGCACGCGAGGGGATCACTAAACCTCCTGTACAAACCAGACACATTGATCTGACCTCCTCCACCAGAAAAAAAATTCCTCTTCAAAGTATCCCCAGGGTATTTCAGGAAAGGATTTTTGCGGTTTTACCAGCCAAAGAGCCTGAAATCAGCCACTGCCGTTAAGTCAAACTGCTAAGCAAGCACCAGTCCCCTCCCATGCTGTCTGCAGGGCCGGGTGGCAACGTGCCCATGAGCGCTGGTGGCCCAAGGGAAGCTCTTCTTGCGGGCCAGCCTTGTCCGGGGACTGTCTGCTTGTCCGTCTGGCAGCCAAGCGCAGGGGTAGCCCATCCCTTCGCAGTCGGCAGGACGCGAGCTCACCGCGCCGCTCCCCACGGCCAGGATGCTCTCACCGGGACCGAGAGGCTGCTCTGCCCGGCAAATGGCTTTGAGCTGGAGGTGCCCGGTGGCTTGGAGGTCAGCTCCGCAGCTTGCAGGTAAACGGCGAATCCTCAAATCGATGCGGGAGCGAGGAGCAAAAGTGCGGATGTGGCACTTCAGGACATGGTTTAGCAGGCATGGTGGTGATGGGCTGACGGTTGGACTTGATGATCTTAGAGGTCTTTTCCAACCTGAGTGATTCTATAAGAGCCATGCTGCTTGCTACTCTCCACGTGCAACACAAGCCGAAACAAGACAAGGGCATGGAGTGACAGGACGAGGGGCGACGGCTTTAAACTGAAAGTGGGGAGATTTAACTTAGATAGAAGGAAGAAATTCCGCACCCTGAGGGTGGTGAGGCCCTGGTCCAGGCTGCCCAGAGAATCTGTGGCTGCCCCCTCCCTGGCAGTGCTCAACACCAAGCTGGACGGGGCTTGGAGCACCCTGGGCTGGTGGAAGGGTCCCTGCCCACGGCAGGGGGGGGGGAACGAGACGAGCTTTACGGTCCCTTCCAACCCAAACCACTCCATGATTCTATGACTTAGAAAGAAATAACAACATGGACATGCAACCAGGGCTACAATTAAGAAGCCACCGCTGATGCCGCAGCAGACTTGGGTCACTGTTCACCTATAATTACAGGGACAATCCAGCTCAATCCAATTAAGAAATTAATTGCCTGGTGTTTTAGGTAGGTTACCCACCATAGGCTGGGCTTCCTCCTGCCTTCCTGCTCTTTCGTACCTCCACACATTGTGCTGAACTTCCCCACCCAGACACCTCACTGCAGCTACAGCTCTGCAGGGACCCTGGGGTGGGAAGGGAGACGGATTTCCGACT